CATCACACCATCATTATTAGCTTCAAAAAGGCAAATAAGGGGAGACAAGGTAGAGATGTATAAAAATATGCATGGAGTGGGGAAGCAGACATGGAGAAGATGTTCTCCTTCTAAAATAGTACTAGATCTCATGGACATCCACCGACGCTAAGTAGTAGGAAATTCAGGACAGATGTAAGGAAGTGGTTCTTCATATAGCACAGAGTTAATCTGGAATTCATTGTCACAAGATTTATGAATGGCTGCCAGCTTGGACAGATTTACATGTTATTAGATAAATTCATGATAATCTTTGGAAAACTTTCATAGCATTCCATCAGTGGCTAGGATGGGTAGGCATCATTTCCAGTGTAAGGATGTATTTCTGTATATCATTTTCTGGAAAATGTGAGGCAGAGGATACTCTGGCATTCAAGAAGTACAGTTGGGTATCTCAATGAACAGAATGCTGGACCACATCGGTCTTTGGTGTGAACAAGCATATGCTCTTCATATGTTTTTATTTTCTTAAAAGTTCTTAATTCCACTGGCTACTGGTTCACTTTTGAGTTCAGTTCTAAATTTTTGTTCTGAAAACTCTGTATGACTTGGAACAAGGGTGAACATTAATGCCTGACCCAGTTGCATCACCAAAACAAGGTGTATATAGATACAACTTCAGAAATAATCGCCAGATTGTATAACAGTTGTATAACATGTCCACATGCTAACTGGTGTGTATAGATACAACTTCAGAAATAATCATCAGAATTCAAACTGTGTGAAGGCAGGTGAGTTAGTTTCCCATCCAAATCAATCCTCCTTGAATGCATTCGCTTCTCACTTAATTACTGTATCATCCCAAATAAATTGTTCAGGTCACCAAATAACCTGAAATTAGAAAGGTGCCCAGAATAACCAAGGTCACTTCTCATGAGGTCTTCTATTAATTTATCCTAATCAGTATCCCACCCATATTTTGTTTCAGGTTAATTTGCCTTCCATTACTGGCACTAATCATCATTACCCCCAAATTACCTTTAAGTAAATTAAGTTCCTTTTTAAATTTTTTCGGCCCAAGCTGATTTCATACCAAAAATTATACCCAGATCAACCCCAAATAATTTCCCTTTCAATTCATTGTTGACCTAGATCAGTGACCGCGAAACTTTTTGAGCAGGAGTGCCCAAATGGCAACATAAAACCAAATTATTTCTTTCGAAGTGCCAGCACAGCAATTAAACCTGAATAATGAGGTTTTAGTTTAGAAAAAAACAACTCGTACAGTTGCCAGAGCTAATCAACACCTTTTGTCTTAAAACACAATAAACATAACTTTCAATGATACAAACACTTTTTATTGAAAAATAACCATTAACTCTAGTAAATGGAAAAATATTAAAGTAATACATTGTATACATACTCTGAAGCCTGGTAATTTATACAGACTTTAAAAATAAATATGTGCATGTATTTTTTTGATAAGGGATACTCAACTTGGCATGCTTTTGCACAATTAATGTGATTTTTGATGTTGTATGCATGCTGATAATTTGTTAAACCTTGGCTCATACGCCGTTAGTTTGAGAGCAACACATGCAGCACACATGTCGTCTGTCAGTCTGTTTCTGGTATCAGATTTGATATAATTCAAAGCTGAAAACAGCTGCTCACAAGCATAAGATGACCCAAACAAAGTAAGAAGAGCAATCCCAAATGCTTTCATTGACTTAAAATTATTTGGCAGAGAATTCCACATTTTAAGGATTTCATTTTCAGAACTACCAACTGTGCTGTCCTTTGTCATTCCTTCACACTCTATTTTCTCCAGTGTTGCACGCAGGTTATAGAATTAATTTTTCCAGATACTGTACAATTTTCTTGAATTTCCAATTGCTCCATTTCCAGATTTCCAAAATCTAAGCACTGTAAGCAGGAATGATCAAATTCTTCAAATTTGGCTTTATCTGGAGAAGTAAGAAAACACAGGGTTGTCTCCATCTTACAGAACTGTAAAAATCTGTTCCTACAATTCTCCTTTGTAGCTGCTACAATGCTAGAAAATTCCTTAGATTTCCTGATGGCTTGTAGGATTGTCTGTAAATGTAGAATTTTCCAAATGCATTTTTAGATTTGGAAAATATTTCAGCTGCCCACTTTCAAGGCCTCTCTCAAAAACCTGAAGTTTTCTCTCAAATGTTCTGATGTCACAAAACATCCTTTCTGCTGTTTTCCCTAAACTTTGCAGTTTTTTGTTCAGTACATTAACATGTGCTGTAAAATCTGTAAAAAGCATGAGGTTGGTAAGCCGGGCCATATCAGTGAGCTGTGGATGTCCAATACAAATCTATCCCTACCAAAGATATTATTGTCACATTTACACATTTTGTCTGTCTGGTTCTTTGATTCTTCCAACTGACAGCTCTTTTAGAAAAAAGTCAAGTGCAAAATGCTACACTGAATTAAATGCACCCGTTTTATAAAGCTTATTAAGTACATTGAAATCCTGGACTTTTTTCCTCCAAAGTAAACCAACCCTCAGAAAAGCAATTACTGTTGAGGAGAGGAATGTTCTAGCTTTTTGTTCTTCTCTGTGAGCACAAGCAATGCCAGGGTTTATATATCCTTAGTTTAAATGTTGTTTCTTTGTTTTCACTTTCCAGTCAAATATTGTGAAACTCACCAAACCAGTAGCACTGTGGACCCAGCAGGATGTATGCAAATGGTTGAAGAAACACTGCCCTAATCAGTATCAAATCTACAGTGAGTCATTCAAACAGCATGACATAACTGGTAAAGTATGAAATATCAGACATATTTCACTTCAGAATTGTGGGTGTGGATGTATTTCACTTTCACTCCTGTCTTTGAGGAACTTGTGTTTACATGTGCTGAGTCAAATGCATATGAAATCATGTGTCTTCTCTTGAGCATGTGAAGCCGAGAGGGGAGGACAAACAGTGTACAACTGCATTATTTGAAGAGACGGTTAGTGGAAAATATACAGAGAGGGAATTTTACTGTGCTAAAAGACTGTGCTTCTAATTGGCTTTTTAAAAAATGATCTGTGCCTTCCTTAGGGGCCTGGCTTAAGGCTGAAGGTCAGGGCACAAAGAAAAGCAACAAACAAATAGATTCTGATCTAATGAAACTTTGAAAATGCAAAGGATTGTTTTCCAGTTGGAGTGATAGCTAGGGGGAAGAGCGTGCACATGCTTTGTATAAAGATGCCAGAGAAGCCTGGTGTTTCTCAAGGCTGGATATGTGTTTTAGGGGAGCGTAATACTCTCCACAGAGAAAAGGTGATTAGAAGTCTGAGTTTTCCTCTAGCTTGGATTTAAAATATGAACTGGAGGAAGATTTCTCATTTGCTCCCTTCCTAACCACCGCTGTCTATCCTGCCTGGAGCCACATCTTTTAATGCACAGTTATTTGATTGAATTGCCTAATGACAATTGCAGTTCTTTAGTTGCAGGAAAAGGAAAGAGGATTTATTTCCTTCCCTCTGTTCTTAGGGATCTGGAGCACTGAAGACTACACAGGAATTCAAGGAACAGGTCCTAAGGAAATGTAGCTTTCCCAAGGTTACTGGCATTGCACAGCAGTCACATCAGAAGCAGTATGGCTATGCGTAACAGTTGCTGGGCAGCTGATGATGGAGCTGTGCTTGTGTTCTGGTGGTGGTCTTCCCATAGGGAATTGTTGAGCATTGGGTGAACAGAATGCTGGGCTGCTAGATCTTTGGTCAGGTCCGACATGCATCTTTTTGTGTTTTCCCTACATTTCCAATGTTCCACTGGAAACTTTGGCCCTAGTACATAGCTATGCAGTGTTCTGGGTACCAGTAAAGAAAGAAGGGAGGGAGAAAGAAATGCCATTGTCCTTGGCCAATCCAACCTAATGAGTATGCTTTAAAAGAGGTAGGAGGTGGTTGTAGGCAGAAGTGGTTAAGAGGAAACCTATCTGTTTCTTTCCAACTTGGCCAGATTGTCAGATATCTTGGGATATTATTATCGTTTATTTCATTTTTTTATACTGCCCATCTGGCCAAATGCACTCTGAGTGGTTTACAACATATATAAATAACATGCTTAAAATACAATTTAACAGAACAGAAAATAAAAATAATAAAGCGCAAATAAACACTTTCGTCTAAATATAAAAATACATTTGCATAAAACATTCAGAACATTGAAAGCATTTAAAATGTTGGGCTTGATCAAGTGAGATAACTAAGCTCATCTGAGTCCGTAGCAATAATGTTTTGGAATGCCTGCCTAAATAACCAGGGTTTTTAGTGACTTTTTAAAAATCACCATTGAAGGGCCAAGCGAAGTACAGGAGGGAGTTCATTCCACAGCCGAGGAGCCACTGCTGAGAAGGCCCAGTTTCTTGTCTTCTCCTTCCATGCCTCTCTTGGAGTTAGCATCCTCAGCTGGCCCGCTTGAGATGTTCTTATAGGATGAGCAGATCCTGTTGGAAGTAGGTGTTCTGCCAGGTACAGAGGTCGCAAACCATTTAGGGCTTTATAGGTTAAAACCATCACCATGAAGCTGACATGGAAATAGACAAGTAACCAGTGTAAGGCAGCCAAAATTGGAGCGATACAATGATACCATGTTTCCCAGAAAATAAGACCGGGTCTTATATTAATATATGCTCCAAAAATGCTTATTTTTGGAGGATGTTTTATTGTTTTCATGTACAATGATCTACATTTATTCAAGTATAGTCATGTCATCTTCTTCTGGTTGCTGCACAGTGGTGGAGGGTGGGGTTTCACTTATGTGGGGCTTATTTTGGGGGTAAGGCTTATATTACGAGCATCCTGAAAAATCATACTAAGGCTTATTTTCAGGTTAGGTCTTATTTTAGGTATGTCTGATCTATCCTGAAAAATAATATATGAAGTCTGAATATATTATGTCATAATTTTTTATCAAACTCTCTCGGTGTTTTTCCTAAACCCTCCACATCTTTACTCTGCTTATTAGAAGGGAGGATTTGAAGATGCCTGATAAGGGACTCTGTTTAGCCTGTTATCTTGGGCCCAAGGTTTGTTTTCATCAACATACTAGGGCTTGTTTTCAGGCTAGGTCTTATTTTCTGGGGAACAGGATATTTATTCACTCCATTCAATAATCTGACCCTCTTATTTTCTGGGGAACAGGGTATTTATTCACTCCATTCAATAATCTGACCACTGTGTTCTGGACCTCTTGAAGTTTCTCTGACAATTCAATTTCATGGGCAGCCCCATGTAGAGAGTGTTGTCGTAGTCTAATCTTGAGATTATGAGTGTGTTGACCAACATGGTGAGGGACCCGATGTTAAGATAGAAACACAGCTGGGCAATCCACCTGAGATGGAAATAGGAGGACCAGAGCACAGATGCTATCTGAGTGTTCATAGACAGTGTTGGGTCCAGTAGGACACCCAAATTATGAACCTCATATTTCAGGGATAGTGCTGATGGTGATGGAATGGAAGTGATGGGATGGATGGAGAAGAGTTGATGGTGAGTAATATGCTTTCCAAGTTTGGTTTGGTATGTGTGTTTGGTTATGGAAGGAAACAGTATGCACACACATCATGATTGTCTCTCAGGCCTACTTTTCAAATAAGAGCTCAATTGGTATTATTAGGCCTAATACATGCCAATACAAGATTGCCCTTGGCATATTAACCAATGTATTTTTGTGTTATAGTCACATTTGGATATACAGTGGTGCCTCGCTTGATGAGGATAATCTGTTCCGTTAAAATCGCTGTTAAGCGAAATCCTCGTCAAGCGAAATTAAAAAACTCGTTGAAATGCATTGAAAACTAGTTCAGTGCGTTCCAATGGGTGAAATACCTCATTGTGCAGCGAAGATCCTCCATAGGGCGACCATTTTCTGGTGCCTGTATAGCGAGGAATCCGTCCTTAACACAGTGGGGAGCCATTTTGCACAGTGGGGAGCCATTTTGGAACCCGACAATCAGCTGTTTTTTGATCATTGTAATGGGAAGAATCGGTTCCCGAAGCAGGGAACCGATCGTCATAAAGCAGTTTTCCCCCATAGGAACATTGTTTTGCTATCGCAATAGCGATCGCAAAAAACCCATCGTAAAGCGGATTCGTCGTTTAACGAGGTAATCGTTAAGCGAGGCACCACTGTATCTGCTGGTCGATGACTTTAATAAAGCTCATTCATTCATATTAACCAACCAGTTTCTTTCTGTAAATATCTGTGATGTAATAAATTTTAAAAATTGCATCTTTCTGATTGTTTTAGAAGTGTCTTTGTGTGCTTCTCCTCTGCTGAATGTCCCTTGGTATTTTGTGTCTTTTAAGTGCAAGTTTGCATGTAGGTGTGAAAGGAAACAGACAAAAGACCCAGTAACACACTTCCAAAACCCTTGATTTGTGATGTCATTATAAATGACATTCTGTACTCTTGTCATTTTTATTTCAGGATATAAAGAAAGATAACTGATTATTTTTAGTTGGTTGATTGGAAAACATAAAGGTGTAAATATAAAGTATTTTGTCCACAATGGCAGTGGAAGCCAAATGGCTGGGTTCTCAGAAGCCCCATGTACTGTACACACTCCATGCACGTCTACAAACTCAAAGGACCTTTCTGAGTATAATTTCTAATTATTGGAATGGAGATTCCATGGGAGTGTTGATGTATTGCAAGGTATAATAATGCCCTGGGACCACAGGACTGTTTGTGGGTACAGAAGCAAGAGTATACTCTTTTTTTTTTTTTTTTTTTTTGCTAATTACATACCCTTACAGTGTCTCAGATACCATACCATAACACACTCTTTTTCTGCAGGTTGTTTAAAAACAGCCGTAGGAAGTAAGAGGGGGCAACAAAGTCATGGTGCTTTGCTTTTTGAAACACCTTTGTTTTTTGCTAGCCCTGTAGCAGTCAATATGTACAACACCCAGCATGGCCCAAATGGTAATGTTGGTCTCTTTTCTGAATTCTGGTGAATATACGTTCTGATAGCTTTTTGTGATGAACATAACAATACATTGGATCTTTGTATCTGTGCCTGGGTTTTAATAAATAATTTCAGTAGATTATAAAACAGATTCTTAACCTTTAGCTAATGAGAAAGTTTAAATCCTTTCCATCAGGTAAGAATTTAATATCAAAGTTTTTAATTATGCTAATTAACCAATAAAAAAAGAACTTCCCAGCAGGCGTCCTCAAATAAATATGGTGCAATGCATTTAAATAAAGGCCTACCAGCATACTTTGCTGTGTACAAAGCTTCTTGGGTCAGAGGCACCATTAAATGGCTGGTTGTAGCGATCAGTAGAGTTAGGCACTTGTCAAGCCATAGAGGGTGGTACAAAGTCCACAGGACAGTGTAGCCAGTCCTCAAGTTGAAGGCACTTTGATTGATTTAAGAGAAGTTGTTCCAAGAACAATGTATTCTCAAAGGCTTTCATGGCTACATCCGACGGTTGTTGTAGGTTGCGACCGGTGAAACATTAGGAAGAAAAACCTCCAGAACACGGTCAAACAGCCCGAAAAACCTACAAATTCCAAGTTGACAGAGAAAGGACTTGCATATGATACAGGGTGACCCTGTACTATAGCATGTCTTTTTCTCTTTCTATGGCACCATTCTCCTCCTCCTCACTGTATTTGTGACTTTTTACAGCTGCTCAGAGCTTGGAAAAGATATTCATTGAGAGTATAACTCTAAGAATCCCCCCAGCTAATGTGACCTTGGAGATTCTGGGAGATACAGTCCCAAAGTAGCTTTTCAAGTTTTGACTGCGCTGG